TGTAAATGTTAATAAATCTACATATTTATATAGAGATTAAAGCTCTTGAGAGAACTGCCTGGTTGTAACTCCAAAAGGCTTACTGCAAAGTTTAAGAAAAGCTTATTAAAAAGAAGCATATCACCAGACACTACACAAGAAGGGATCCAAACCCAAGAGAGACAGATGATGACCATCAACATTCTGCTGTGCTACGATAAGCCTGGCACCTATTAACAGTGGACAGTCCTCCAGCACAGGCCACCTGGAGATGAAGTGGTGCAACAGGTCTCTTCCATCTCCAGCTGCCACAATCCTATACCACCACAGAATACAATACATCAATTTCTCATCATGAGAGGTAGTTATTTAAAAAGATAGACACATTTTCTCCTTGCACACAATGGATTCAATGTATTTCAATGGTTGATTGTGACCAGTGCAGTGTTCAGCCGTTGCTGATGAGATAATAAAAGCAAGCCAAATTCTCCTTACTGAAATGAATAACATTTTACCTTATGTCTACCACTGTGTAAAAAAAAACCAAAAAGCAGAATTTGAGCTAATGGCAGTGGGTGGGTCATAAATACTTAACATCATTCTGCAGTGAACAAATTCAGGACATTAAACTCATTAGCAAAGAGACTAGAAACTCATTCTCTAACTCCGAAATCAGTGCACAGCTACTGTACCATATGCTGCATTACAGCAGACCCCAGCTTACTGTCTGTCCTTTATGGTAAATGGTTAGGGGAAAACACAGGACTGCTGCTGAGAGCATTAAAGACTTGGGAATGGAGAGGACAAGTTAAACAGTCCCACTGAGCTTGCTTGAAATGTTAACCTTTAAGATACCTATGTCACAGTAAAACCACCAGCCATATAAACATTTGTATCATTGATAGTACACCTATATTAACTGAAGCATTAATTTCTGTTATGTTCATGGGCATTAAATTAAAGCTTTTTTTCTGTCAGACCTTCTAAGCTGTAATAAAATGGCAATCTAACTGAAGACATACTTGAGCATGCCCTCCAAAACTAAGATGAGCTCTGAGAATTTCCATGCTCAGGACTGCATTTGTTACACATTTCCTCATACTGTGCATTCTTATAAACAAAGTTATCAGTGTAGCACAACCAGACTTGTCTCTGTATTAATATTAATCCATACTAAATAGGTACTCATTTTCTGTTCCTCAGAATAAGTCTTGTATTGATACTATTGTACGAATAGCCCAGCTAAATCCTGAAACATATTCAGCCCACCTACCAGCTGCAAGGACAGCAAAGTGTCTGTTGCTGTGGTATAGCCATGAGCAGGGTGGTTGCTTGTGGGAAACATGAGTGTTATATGACCCATGGGGAAGCAGCCAGCCAGTTCCTGCAGAGCACTAAGGCAACACACCTGGAGGGGAGCTGCAAAAATAAGTTGGCTCCTATGACTGTACCAAAGGCAGGAAAATGAGATAGGGTCAGATAAAGGCCTTTGAGGCACTATGGCCAGGTTAATTTTACAGCACAAGGTATTTACATAAGTGTTCTGTAGCTGAAGGACATTTCATATCACTTATTGCAACATGGCAACAGTGAAAAACATCAGTAATACATGTATTTGCAACTCACTTCCTATACTCTTTATAGCTCTAATAAATAAACTGTATCAAATTAGTTTTGAATTCTTATTCAAAACTACTACTAGTGTTGACTGAGTATTTTGTGCTTGCATTGTCTTTATTTACTTATACCATCATACAGAGGTGGCTAAGTGCAAGGTATCTACCAAGTACGGACAGATAAAAAGGAGAAAGGAATAAAGCATGATCACAGTTATCCCTACCTAGAAGCAGGGAAGAGGAAAAAAAGGCCAGTACCAGTTGTGGGAGAACACCAGGTTGCTTCAATTTCAGGGGAGAGCCAAGAACTGGCAGTACACAGTACTCAGCTGACCCTGAGCTGCCTCCCATGGCTGCAGAGTAATTCTGCAGCTTGAGGCTCATTTTCAGATTAAGGATATTCTGGTAGGATCAATTCTCCACTGAGACATAGTCATGTCTTGACACACCAGTAGTTGTTTAGCAGTATGCCAAGACAGGCTGGGTATAAGGTACAGTGCAAAAGTGGTCTTTCCAGCCTTTTATTCTAACATACTCAGCTAACATGAGAAAAAAAAAAAATGAACTGAGCACATTACCAATTGCCAACCCTTGCTCTAGTGAGAAATTCTTGGAACAGAATGCCTCATATATTAGAGGCATGTATTAAATTTTCTATTTTATTAGTATAAAAACACAAACCCCATATTACACAAGATTTGGTTTTATCTGAAGTAATCAAGATTCAGGAAACAATGTTTAATGGTTACTTAAGTTTGACTTTACAGATCAGGAAGCACATACATCCTTAGAAAGAAAACAACCCAGAGCTTTGCTTTGTTCCTTGTGCCAGGATCTAGTCTCAATTCAACATAGGTCAATAGTTGGAAGAACAAACCAAAATAATGCTACCTTTCATATTAGGTGCTCCCAGGTTTTCTTTTTCTTCTGTTATGAAAGCTTTAGCACATCTGCCATGCTAAGATAAATGTTTATGCTAATGTAAAATAAGAGTCCAAACAACTTCTTGGGTTTTGGAGGGTTTTTTTCTGTCTATAGTCTCTTACATCACCATCAATGCCAGCATATCTGAACACTTTCTAATCTCTCATTGCCAATGTCATACATCTTCAGGTGTTGCATCATGCTATAAACCAAAGACAAATGTGCATGTGAGCAGAATGTTTCATTTGAAAATCATTTTGGAATGTAAATCAAATAAATTTGTCAGCTTTATTATTCCCATCTACCCCTAAAACATACATAACTTTGATCCTCCTATGATGCTTTATGTGCTTCCATATTTGAACAGAACAAGCAGTTGCTGTAGCTGGAGGTATAATAGGAGGGATCCTTTTATTTGTTCTCATTGGAATAACTGCATACCTGCTCTGGAAGAAGTTTTGCTGCCTCCTCTCTTATGAAAAGCTCACCAGTCCTGTCAAAACAACAAATGCATATGCCATCTTTCAGGATCAATCCACTTCTGAAATTCAACCAAAATGCACAAGGTATATATTTTAAAAGCATACACTATTGGTAATTTATTTCAATTTGTCAAATCTCAAATGAGGGGGTAATCTAAGTATCTGCATGTACGCAAATAAACGAGACCCCTAAATTACATGAGAACATCAGCCATGTTCTCTTTTGTTCCTTTAGGAAAATACTTTCTCTAATTATGAACACAATGATTATTTCCAATTTATGTAAAAGAGAGAATACATTGAAGTGTAATTGGTACAAGGATAGCTTTATCTGTTACCTAGACAAATTCAGCCTATGTTCCAGAGTCATTCCAGAAGCATCTGAGAACCAAACAGGACCTCAATTCAGAAAGGAGACTCTCTTAAAAAGTTAGTTACTGCAGGGCTTTGGGGCTCTCAAACAAGTAGCTGCAGTTAATTCTTCCTTTCCTTTGAAAGATCAACTGTGAAGGAGAAGAAAGGAAAAGAGTGAGGGATCTGACCAAAGAATTAAGATCTCATGTCCCTCACTGGACCTTCAGGCATGATACAAATACAATCAATGGCATCTCCATAGAATTTTTACAAAATTGTGAGATAAGAATAGTAAACTTTTTACTAAGTTTGGTTTCCATATTTAAATGAGAAGAGTCAGTAGCTGTTGTTGTCTTGAGCAGATCCAGAAGTGTTCCATTTATCATTCCCCCAACACTGCACAGGCGAGACTGGACTAACCTGACAAACAAAGAACATGTTCAGGAAGACAGTGACCCCTACATGATTCCTCAGTCTGGGCCACGGTCATCATTTCATTCTTTGGGTATGGCATTGCAAAAACAGGACTCTTTAAGGATGTTCTTTTAAAGGGTAACTTTATTATTATGAAGCATGTTTATTGGGGGCATACCAGACAGTGTTACACAGTACAAGCCCTAAACACTATGTATTTTTTTTTACATATGTAGGAATTGGGCTAGAACATTGCCATTCAGGTCCCAGTGCTGTGGGACTTTGCACATATGGCAAATAAAGCAAATCTCTCCTGTGTTTTGTAAAGGCACAACATGAGTGTAACTCAGGTGGTGTCTGATTCATCCCCAGAGTTGCAGATTGCAACAACAAATACCCAAAACTATCAAGGTACAGTCACAGGAACAGAAAGTGGTGTAGCCTAAAACTACTCCCCCAAATTTGAGGGAAAAAAAAAAAAGAGAATACCAAGTTTAAGCAAAAATGGATTATTAATAAGAGATGTGATATCCCTAATATAGCAGTGGTTATAAAAATGCCTGCTACAGTCTTGAGACTAATCTGAGGGTGCTTGTCTTTTATTTCATGAAGCTGGAGCTTATGTTGTAGGGACCATTAACCCAGAGCTGTACAAGTTTCCTGAAGACAAAAGTGAGACAGATTTTCCTGAAGGCAACATTGGCCGCCTCTGGTTCTCCATAGAATACGAGCAAGAATCAGAAAGGCTCCTTATCTCCTTGATCAAAGTGAGGAAGCTGCAGCCTCCTGCCGATTCCTGCAGTCTGTTTGTGAAAATCTACTTGCTGCCTGATGAAAGCAGCTACCTGCAGTCCAAAACAAAACAAAACCCTTAACCCACAGTTTGATGAAAACTTTGTTTTTCAGGTACTTTTCCGTTTGATGAAGCAGATTTTTGGTTGCAAGTATTGACTTGTCAAACTACAGTACAGGTTTTGTGAATTATTTTTTTTTTTTTTTTTAACACAAACTTCTGCCAAGATAGAAGTTGTTTTCACTGGAGAGAGGATTTATTACTGGGGCTTCTGGAGATCCAAGGCTACTTAGGTCTGCAGCTCCAGAACTGATCTTATTTGTGGTCTGCACCAAAGCTGAGGATTCCAGAACTTACCCTGGGAGTGATGAGAACTCCAGTTTGAATTATGGCTGAGCAGCTCAGCCTAGCAGCTCTGGAAGTCTAGAAGCAACCTAAACTGAACTAATGTTTTCATAGCTTTTAGTTTCTTTACTGTGGAAGTAGGCTAGAAACAAGAACTCATGAGATGTCTGGTACAGTATGTACTGTACATACATACTTGTATGTATGGTGCTGTAAAGCTAGGAGCTTGGCTCCCTATGCCGAGAGGCTTTGAGCAGGTGTCACAAGACAAAAGCCTTAAACCCCAAAAAGGTTGTGTTTCAGACAACTGAAAAATCAAAGTTTACAGATTTCTAGACATTTGTGTCTGGAAGTGAATGCATCATATAACACTAGATCTATGAGTTGAAAAACCACCAGCTATCTTTGTATTTTTCAAATTAACTCATTCTATTTTAGCTTGGATCCTTAGACTCCTGCATAGCTAAACTTCAGGCAAATAAGAAAGTAGACTTCAAATAATCAAAGGAAATCTCCACCTACCTTTAACATACTTTGAAAAATTCTTCCTCTGAAGTCATGCTAGAGTAGAGATTTCACGTTTTACAATTATTAATGTATTCTTCCTTTCCCTGTACAGGTTTCTAGTAGAATGTTGCTCCAAAGGACTCTGAAGTTTTTGGTTTATCATGTTGATCAACAGAAAAAGCATCATCTCCTAGGCCAAGTTATCTTCCCACTGAAAAATGAAACATTAACTGATTGCAACAAACTAGTCATATGGAGAGATCTGGAGAAAGAGAACTTGGAGGTATGTGATACTAGGCACTACTTGAAATTGCAGAACCTGTGTCATCTTACAAGTATTGGAGGGGTATAGCTGAAGTAGAAGTGTGTAGTATCAAACACATCAATGCAAAAGTATTGATAAACATTTGGAATCAAAATTCCCATCTTACCAACCTGCAGATTCAGAGCTGTTGTATAGGGATTATCCAACTGCTCAGAAACAGTCACATGAGTTAGGAGACATAAGAAAGCCCCTTTTGTTATTTGCTTGGTTTGAATTAGTAAGAGCAGAAAAAAAACAGAAGAGGCAAGGCAATAGGCATCACCTGGAAGAGACAGGAATTCAAATGTTCAGGAAGGCTGATTAATTGGTTCTATCAAACATCACAACAGTGTAAGTAAAGCCATTATAATGCACTCACATGCCTTGGTGTGGCAGAAACCACTAGCACAAAGAACTTTTTTCCCCCTGTTTGTCTGTGTGAAGAGAGAGTTTTTCAGACATATCTGAAAAGTGTTCTTCTGCTTCCAAAGCCTCCTTCAGAGTACGGTGATATCCAGTTCTCCCTCAGCTACAATGACTACCTTGGCCATCTCACTGTAATGGTTCTGAGGGCAAGGGGATTAAAGATCCAGGAGGAGAGCCATGCTGTCAGTAAGTGTGATTTCCTCTTTGCTATCAGCTCCAGAATTCCTGTTTTAATTTACTCCTTCCTCATCTGTCCACCCAGGCTTGCACTGAGTGACTCTGAAGAGAAAAAAAATAAACATCCATGTGATTTAACTTGACTGGAAACAAGCCATACTTTGTTACTGGGGTAATTAGATTTTGATAGCTTAGCTCTGCTGTTTTGGTTTTGCTTCATAAGAAATGGTTTGTCTCATGTCATCAGTAGCAATTTTTTTCTCCTGCTTTAATACAGTGAGCAACATCCTTTTATCCCTTTGCTGCACTCCAGTCCAGAGAAGGTAGCATTTCAGAAGATACTGACATTAACAGAATTGCCTCAAGGCAAAAGCCCAGAGGTAACAGGTGCAGAACAACTGCTTATGCTGAACAGCTGTCCTGGGTAGAACTGAACTGGGAAAAATAAGTCCCATTTTAGGACAGCCTGGCTGTTGTTCAAAGGACCATGTCATGGAGTCACAATTTTTCTCCCTTAGTGCAGTGGGGGTTTCCCTGGTACATCATGCTCATGTGTCCTTGGCCTCAGAGATTTTGGCTAGAGATTACCTCAAAATGCTGTTTAAAATCTAAAACACAGCAGAAATAGATGGAAGAAACAAACTTGTGTTTGAATCTGTAGTGATTTTTTTGAAGGGCCTTGAAACTAAACAATATAAATGTAAAATACACCCAGCAGTTAAAAAGAAAAGAGGTTTAGGTCTCTATATACACATATCAACTGTGAAGTTTTTCTGAGGTTTGAAGTGGGCTGTTACAAGGATGTTTAACTTTAGAAACAATGCCCTCTAAATGAGTAAGTCTACATTCACAGTGCTAAAGATAAGTTTTCTCTGTTTAGGTTCAAACTCATAAATGAAAAAATGCACAGTAAAACAATGAGAATATAGAGGTTTCCCGCAAGCAGAATCATACCTTGTGCACTTGGAAGAAAAATGCGTGAAGCAGTAAAAAAGTAAGGAAAAGTCAGACTGTGCAAGTAGTTTACATAGTAACTCTTTCCACATATAGCACTGAGGTAGCAGCTCTGTCAAAGAAGTCTGTTCCGGTAATGCTGAACTCCCTGAAACAGTAACGACAGCCTACTGGATCTGTGGAAATAACAAGGAGATATTAGGAATCTGTCAATGCTGTCTCAGTCTTGACATTTCTAATAATTTTTGCTATACAGATGAATCTTAATGAACTGAATAGCAGGGAGTAATAAACACAGTAGCAGCATGGAATCTATTGCTGCTTCACTGGAAAAGAACAAGTCTTTAGTTATCAATTAAGATGAAATTTCTGCATGCTAGTCACTGAATTTTGTAGAAGGGTAGGGAAGAATGGAAAATTTCAGGCTGCTTTGGCAAAGATCTGAATAAAACCATAATGCAATACAGGTCCCATTAGGAAGCAAAGCAAGATTTGTGTTGTTTTTGTTCCCACACTCACGCACAATTTTTATGATTTTTTTAGAAGAGCAGATATCATTGATCTTTTCCTCAAATTTTCTACAGAATCCCTTACCACAGGGCTAGAAGTCATTAGTAAAACCTTTTGTTTAAGGATTCTTCTTTGATTAGGAGAATCTGTTCCCCTGAAATGTATCCACTCCAAGCACAGGCTGCAGTTCTACAATATGGCTCCTCCATCACAGCCTCTCTTGTGTTGGATCAATCATGTGATCAAATACATGAAATTAACTACTGACCCAACAAACTAAGCCTTCAAAAATGTCTCCATCAAATGAAGGGAAGGTACAGGAATTTAAGATCAAGGACGCAAGGTAAGAATATGACTGCTTCCTTTAACAGCTCTTACACTGGGAAGTGTACTGCAAAACTGTACCCTAAGTACTTTGCGTCCTCCCTGCTTAATGTTATGCATTGCCATGCTGCCATGTATGTTTCATGAATCATTCATGATCTAATTTTATACTTAATATTGACTCCTGAAAGCAAGAAATTACTTAAGCCTTCTCCCAACTGCCTCTGATGTATTTTCTTCTTAAATTTCTTTTTTCCCCCAAGGTGTATATGTCAAAGTCTCACTAATGAACCATAACAAATTAATCAAAAGTAAAAAGACAGCAGCTGTTCTGGGATCTCCCAATCCAGTGTATAATGAAACCTTCCGTTTCAAGGCAGATCAGACGGATCTGGATACAGCAAGCCTGAGTCTATCTGTGCTCCAGAGTATCAATGGCGAAAGTAAGCTACATACATTATTACAGTTAAGATATCATAGATCTCTCACATATTGCAGAGACATTTAAATCTGGGAAGAATTAATTCATTTTCAGCAATAATCAATATAAAAGGTTTGGGGTACGTCACAGGTGTTTCTTTAAAAAGCAGAACAGCTTATTTGAAGTGTACATTTCTCTTTCAGACACTGAAGATAAATTTAATGGAAGACACAAATAAAATAACTGTAGGCTAGTCACTGCCAGTACAGGTGCTGTAGTTTTGTTTCACTCTGATATCCTAAGAAAACAAGTATATGCAATTACATTTTGTGAACACTTGTGTGCATAATCTTCAACCTCCAAAATTTTGAAGCCATTCACTGTTCTTAATTAAAATTCCTATTCCTCTTTCAAATTTGGTTATCACAGCAGTTCAAGCAGTGAGAAAAGAAGAGATTACAAACATCTCCATTCCCTGGCAGAAAGCCTGATGCTTGAGGTCACCTCATACTTGCTGTCAGAGAATCCATTAAGGAGTTCTGCTTAGAGAAGCAAATCAGAATTCAGTATTTCCACTGCTCACAACAAAAACATCTTCCCTGCAGTACAAAGATGATCTCAGTGATGAAACATTAATACCCTTATTTGGATTCATACACTCCTAAAAAAATTCCTTTAGGTGAGATTTTGGGCAGGTGCTTTGGCTTTGAGGATCGACAAGAACTAGGATCAAGTCTTTCATAATTTTCACTGGCAGACATCCAAAAGCTTTACAAACATTGTGAAACTCATGTAAGGCAGGTTCATGTTATTTTCCCCATCCACAGTTGAAAAGTTCAGCCACGAAGAAACAATCTGCTCATCAGCAGAGGGTGGTCTGTGGCAACCCACATATTGTGACTCCCAGCTGCCTCAGTAATCAAATCTAGTCTTTCCCAAGCTAGAGCATCATATGAATCCCACTGAGGTTGCTGATGCCCAAAACTAGGGCATACTTCCACAGTACACTTGAGGTAGAGGGGCAGGGCAGACAGATCTGTGCACCTTATATTGATTCTAGTTTAGAGTGCGGGCAATAGGGTAGGCCTGAATTGGCTAAACACTGACTTACTGCAGTACTTTTAAAATGCTGAATCTTAGCATGTAAGAACTATAGAACTTGAAATCCAGAGTGAATTCCTTGACAAGAGTTTGGTTTAAAAATAACTTTCAGAACATGCATTAGGGAAATACAAGCTAGTATTCTAATGTAGGTAAGGAGTCCAGAGAAGCACTCACAGGTGTTAACCGTTAACTGCTTTCTTTTTTTCCCAGAAACACATCTGCTAGGACATCTAGTAGTTGGACCTTTCATGTATACCCACAGCAGAGAACTAGAACACTGGAATGAAATGATCAGCAAGCCGAAGGAGTTGGTTAAACGATGGCACGCTCTCTGCCACAGCTTGTAGAAAGCACACATGAAAGAGCAACCTTAAAATGGAAGAGTTCTATCTTTCATAATCTAATGACAAAGTGGACAAAATCTTTGAACATTTTACACTCTTAAGTAGACAAGAATAAAATAAGTAAATTCAAACACAAAGAGAAGACTTGGTCCCTGGCAGGCTGGAACTCTATCTTTCCTATCTTCAAAATATATTTCCAATTTAATTAATATGCAGCAGAGTAAACAAAACAAGACAACAAACATGATGTCCCAGTATTAGTTATTTTGAATAGTAAATTCCAATTCTTGGTTGTGAGTTCTGGGCACAAATGATAATCCATCATGTAGACAGAACCCAAAATGACTTAAGAATTGTCAGTGATGATACCAGGCCTAACTGTCCACCGCATTGCATCACCACAGGCAGAACAGCTTCACCAGAAGGGACGGAAGCCCAGTAAGCATGCCAAAAGAGACAAAACCCAAAAGATGTTGACTGACTTCAATTTACAATTTATTTAAAATAGCAGCATTATATTTAAAACGTTGTTTCAAGATGAACAATGGAAAGCATTGTGTTTATTGATCAAAAACCTAGAAGCACCTGTTCACATCCCTCAGCACAGTATTTCTTGCAGTAATTCAGTTAAATTTTTTCAGCTAACCCACTGCACACTGTGTTGACACTAAGGGATAAGCATAAAAGAAGTCCTGAAGACACAAATGATTGGAGGTTTGCAAGAATACTGGAGTACTCTGAGAAAGACAATGGGCCTGTCCTGTCCTTACATATTTCTCCCTAAACACATCTCTGCTGGCAACAGAGCATTGATTACAAGAGCCTTAAGTTTGACCTAGTATGACCACTCCTACATTGAAAATCCAATTAGCTTGAGCCCCCAGGACATACATCTGTTTTAGTGGTAGAGTTTTCTCCATTAAATAAATTACTGTTCTATAAAATAATTCAGAGCAATTATTTTAAGTCAAAATAAAGTAAATAGGACATCCTTCTCCTTGATTGTTCACTGGGGACCTGAACTCTGTACCTCTCACACCATACAGTCATAAACCAGACACACAGACTATTGCAACAAAACATTTTGTACAATTATGTTCCAAGAGGACTGTGATCTCTGCAGCTGAAATAAAGCCAACTTCCTTTCAAACAGGATACAGTATTAATTAATTCAATATATTAAAAAAATGAGGATTCTCTGGGGAGATGAGAACACTTTCCATTTTGATAACATTGTTATTATCTAAAGTAAATATTATGAATGAGAATACATCTGGAGAAGAACTGTAAGATAACAGACTCCACTTCATCTCATCCTCCATTTGAAATGTTACATGGTACCCTCAGTCGGTCTTGCTAACTGCACCATTGGATATAAGATGAGCCCAGACTCATTACATTTAATTGAATTTTACAAAATGTTCAACCTTCTGTTAAATGAGTAATGCCAGCACCCCAACCCCAAAGAGCTGTTTTCAAATTTTACTCCTACAAAACCACTGAAAACCAATCTAATAGGCAACATGTTCGATCTGGGAAGGAAAGCTATATATAAACTGTATAATAACTATATTACTACTATAAAGCAATTTTACCAATTATATTATGCCCCTCTATGATATAAATCACACTAACAAGCATTAAAGATCTTAAAAGTAAACTGTTAAGAATGTTTCAGACATGTTTACTAGGTTATGCAGGAAGATGCAGGTAATGTACAGTGGCTTTTAACATAAATACCTCTGAAGTGGGAAGTCACCTGACTTCATGTACAATGCGGACCAAGTAATAAAACAATACATCATATTAATGCGGTCTCTTTTTTGCCCTTCTTAAAGTACCAATACTTCTAGTTTCTGTGTTGAATAATTCAGCTAAAATCCCAAAGAAACATTTTTAAATGCACTTACCAATAAACTTGACTTTGCCCAAGGTCATCCAAGTGAAGTAAATAAGAAAGGTCCCTTTTGACTCATTCTGAACAAAAGAATTATTCCAGAAAAGTGAGAAACATTATTAAATAAGGAGTTATAATACAGCGATGTCAATTGTCACATAATAGAGCATTTTTTTTTACCTACTACCTTTTACAGATCATCCATCAGGTCTTATGCTTGAGACTTGTATCAAGATGAAGGAGGAAGAATGATTACAAGACCTCTCCATGGCTAACAGTGCTTCGTTTGCTCTAAAAAATGTTAAAATTTTACGAAAATACATAGCACAGAAAACCCTCATCCAAGAAATACACAAGAAATAGATATAAGATCATACAAGATGTGACACACTCCTCAATACTTCCCATTACTATTGACAAATACAGAAATTTCTAAAGCTCTGCAATAAGTCTAGCATGTAACTTCATGAAAGTACAACCCTGTCAAATGACAGTCAGAGCAATTTATCACCATTTTAGAACAGACATTGTGCCGGTTTTGGCTGGAACGGAGCTAATTTTCTTCATAGTAGCTGGTACATGGCTGTGTTTTGGATCTGTGCTGAAAACAGTGCTGTGTTGATAGCCCAGGGATGTTTTCGTTACTGCTGAACAGTGCTTACACAAAGTCAAGGCCTTTTCTGCTTCTCATCCCACCCCACCAGTGAGTAGGCTGGGGATGGGCAAGGAGTTGCGAGGGGACACAGCCGGGACAGGTGCCCCCAACTGACCAAAGGGATATTCCATATCATATAGCATCAGGCTCAGCATATAAAGCTGGAGGTAGAAGGAGGAAGGGGGGGGACACATTCAGAGTGATGGCATTTGTCTTCCCAAGTAACCATTGTGCATGATGGAGCCCTGCTTTCCTGGAGATGGCTGAACATCTGCCTGCCCATGGGCAGTGGTGAATGAATTCCTTGGGTTTTTACTTTGCTTCTGCATAGCTTTTTGCTTTACCTGTTAAACTGTCCATCTCTCAACCCAGGAGTTCTTTTTACTCTTCTTTAGCCACTTTCAAGAACAGCACATGAAAGCTATTCAGTCCTATTACTTGCATTATAGTACATTTGACAACTTTAAATTTATAAATTTAGTTTTGAGAACAGTTCTATGTTTGAAGCCTAAAGATAGCTGAAACAGTACATGCGGAAACTGATTTTCTAAATGAGAACTGTGCAGGTAGAGATCTGCAAGGATCTAGCCAGACAGCAAATATGGTTCATAACTTACAGTTTCTATCAGCTTCTGTAAAAGGAACAATTTATATCAAAGATATTTATATCAGAGAAAAATACTGATCTATGTATTTAATAACTTTTACAGATTAATATTTATGAGATTGTTACTCTGAAGTCAGGTGCAGTCATTTACTCAGTCTTACTGATAAAAATCACTATCAGAATACACTAAGACTTTAAAAAGAATTAAATTAATTTCTAAATCTGATCAAGTTGGGAGAAAATTTTGCAGACCTGTGTTAAACTGATTAAATTGGCTTAAGGTGATTAAGTTTATTTGCCAGCTTATGCTGGATAAATACTACAACAATTAAACAATTTAAAGGGTCCATAAAAGAATGTACCAGTTTAAACTGTTTTAAACCTTTTAATTAAAATCTGTGCAATAACTTTTAGATACACAAAATTAGATTCAGTGAGACAGTTCTGTTTTACAAGAGAAAACAATGGCAGCAAAATTGCTGAGGGTAAGTGGCAGAGATTCTGCTGTTTAAAGGAAAGCAACCAAAATAGCAAAGCAAGCAAAGACATAACCAAGTTACAGATAATGTATACAATCAGACAAAGAAAAATCTTAACTAAAATATTATTACTGAATCATGGCTGTCTTCCTCTAACCTGCCATATCTGAGAAAAATTCAGTCTCAATACTAGTGAACTTTTCTAGGGAGAAAGGGAAAACAGATACCCAGTAAGAGTTAAAGAAAAATACATGTATAAAAATATACTTTATGACAATTTATCAGTATTACAGCAGCAGTATACACTAGTAGCAGATATTCCATGCCAGTCTTTTTTTTTAAGTTAAAAACAAAATCCTTTCTTGTATTCTTAAGAATATTTGCTTCCTTGATTTTTCTGGTTTGCCATCTGTGTGTTCCTATGGTCTTTGTTTCTCAGTTATTGCAGAGGTCAATGCTTCAAAGATCAAGATGAAAGTTTAGCAGATGGAAATCCTTTTGCAAAGGATAGCTGTTTTCATCTAGCACAAAATGGCTCCTAATTTCCAACAAATAGGATGCTTCTGTATCTGCCAGCAGCAAATGACACAGATCTGCTACTATTATGCTGTATGTTATATCTGAAGAGGGCACTGCAAAAGACAGAACAACCCAATTTACTCTTTATTTTTATAATAGCACCTAACATTCAAGTTCTACCTCCATGAAAGCTACACTGAATTACTGGAAGTGTAGCTCAACATGAGTAGAAAATTAGCTTTTGGTTTTTAATAATTTTTAAAAGCAATGTGCTAAGACTGTTTCTCATTAAACTAACACCTGAGAGGTGTTTTACATGATTCACAAGTCAGACAGGATGTATCAAGGGAAGCCTGCCTGAAACATTGCTTAGTTATTTAGCTGGTATGCTTTCATGAGGTATTTCTAAAAAAACTGCTAAAAGATTTTATTTTGCATATAAGAAATCTATTTACTTACTGAATACTTAGTTATATAATACATAATAAATGTTCACACCATCTCAACTCTTCTTGTTGCTACATCAACTCTGAACTTCCAAGTTTGTCAGACAGTAACTGAAGTGTTCTCTTTGAGGTTGGGTTTGGTTTTTTGAAATCTCATACAATATAAGCAATCATCATATTTCCAGAACGATCTCATACCAATTTTACATTATCAATAATTCAAAGTTTTACTTCCATTGTGAACTTTGCTGCCTGTTTCTATCACAAGAAATTAATGAAACTGTACCTACTAATCTGTTCAACCAGTCTGCAGGAATATTGAGGAAGATTTTTTCCATTAACTCAGACACCACATGAACATAAATTTCATGTCCTCCATCTTCTACTGTCATCAAAGCGGGTCTAGATCAGAAAACAAAAGACTCTGGAAAGTTAGCTGCTATGTTTTTTGATTGAAGCAAAATTTCTGAATGAAAGTAATATAATGTAGTACTATTCTCCAACATAACACCAAGAACTAGAACTACAATCTCTATGCACTCATCTGTCAAATCTGTAGAGCTAAAATGAGCTTGAGATATATACACTGAATTTACTACTCAATGTTAAAATAACTTCTAAAGCTATCAAGTAAGTCTTACTTTCAGACAACTGCAGAAAATAATGTCTTAGTAGTGGTCTTTTCCTGGAAGACAAAGAACTGCACTGTTATGAAGTTATGTTATTCATGGCTTTGAACTTTAAATATTTAAAGTATAAATGTTAATATGTAAGTATATGTACCTACAAATATACAAGGGGTACATAAAGATTTGAAATGCAAAGCAGGGAAACAAGCTTAGGTGTATCACTTGGAATTGTATCATCTCTATCAACATCACCTAATATTGTCTGTCTTAATACACCACTTCATAGCCACTATATTACCAAGACAGTACGTCTTGTACTACGACAAATACCAAATGGTTTCACATACGACTAAACAAGTAAAATCACTCCTCTTCCTGGAAACCATTTTCTACATAGGATATGGTCAATAGTATTCCTGTTAGGTCTGAAATGAACCCAGTTAGGGACTGTTGTCCCACACACACTTATTTCCAAATTTTGCCTTTTCACATGATTCAAAAGTGATGTTGGATGACAGACAATTGGTAAGAAGTGATCCTTTTTGTAGTACAGGCATTCCATACATTTCAAGTGTTTGCCTTCTTTCCAACCTGTCATTATTGATGCCATACTTTTTTATTCTTCCCTCAAATAAGTCCTTGCTATTTGTTTTTGCTATGCTTCTGTGAAATGATACCTTAGCAGTCCTCTATAGTGATGTTCAACAGGTACTTTCTGCTTGCTTTCAAGCTTCTGAGTGATTTTACTAAGCCTAATAATAATTTATAAAGCTGATGCAGCTTCTACCCAACAAATGCTCTTTGACTGCCCTGAGACTATGTGCAATTTGACCTGCAACATCCGCACCATCACGATCCCCACGCTTTTTAGAAAATCTGCACTGCTCTGATCAAAGCAGGATGCAATGCTCAAATCCTGACCATCCCACAGAAGAAACTAAAATAGTAAACATCAGGACATACCACAATAATGTAAATCCTGATTGTAGCCATACTGAAACAGTATATGTTAAAGTAATAAAATAAGGCACAATCGTCTTCAGTGCAGAACTTTTCAATGGGAGATGCTCCCAAACGGAATAAAATATGCTCACTGCAGAGACAGCAGAAATGAAAGAAAGGCAGTCATGTCAAGAGACTAGCAGAACTGCACTGTCCAACAGGACAGTCAGCCAGTATTTCAGTATATTGACAATTGGAGAATGTTATTAACAGATTAATTCAGTTAGCATGATGCAGAACATACCTGACAGCATTAATTTGAATGCCTGTGAGGCACAAAGGCAAATGACTACAAATATACCACTTTCCCAAGTAGGCAAATCCTTTGACTTGCCATCTGTTAATCTAAAAGCTACTGCTAAATTTCATAATCTTAAGTGATCAAAAGAGATAAAAGAACTCCATGTCTGATTATCTGTGAGATTATTTAAAGTCTGTTAGTTTAGACAGAAACCAAGGCCCTGACTATTTGTCATCATTAAAGACCGTTGGCTCCCTTCATGAGAGAAAGCTTAACAATACACTTACATGCTCACCTTCCCAAGTAATTGTGGACAATTGCTATTTTATCTCAGAAGTGTATTTTGGTTTAGACAATCTATGCTGAAGTACAAGAAAATTATTATGACTTCCAAAAATACTAAGTTAACATTTTTGAAACAGTATTATTAACTGAAATATTTTTGCAGAGAAATGTACTAAGAGATGTTGCAACATTTAAAGCTTTCAAAGCCATAGGCAAATGTAGTCTGCAGATGTAACTCACAAACCAAGTAATGCATTAGGAAAGATTAACTTTGCTTCATTTCTGGTTATTATATGCTGACTACCTGTTTTTCAGTTCATATTCTATGTTTTAACAAGTATGCGGTGTTTAGTATTACTACATCTACTCATACTAAGTAAAAAATACTATGCAGATTTTACTCCCAAGGAGATGCTGGTAGCTTTTGCATAGCTAGAAATAGAGCATACTGAATTTACTACCTCCTTATAGTGAGGGATTAAAACCAAATCTGAGATAAAGGGGCATAAATTAGCAAACTGCAGAAAAGTGTAACTTTCTACTGGTTGTACATACAGTTTTATAAACAAGACTAACACTAACCATTGACATATCAAGCTACTGAGTAGCACAATAAAGCTAGGACAACATATTTAGTTAATAAGTTAATTTCATTTTAACAAGATATTTCTTTAGCAAGAGATTTTTTTTTCTCCTGTTAAGATGTAAGTGTACTAAGTTATCTTACAATACAGAATTTGGAAATACTACTAAGGAGATGCATTCTTAGTAAACTAAACAGAGCGAAATTTCAGTGCAAAAATGACAGACTTGACTTTGAAGAAGTTGTGCATTTAAGTTCCACTTCAAGACGTGTTCATACGCTAAGAATACAAACATTGGAAATATTAATCATTCTTCTATCATCTTTTGTGCATAAGTAAATTGAGGTCATTCAGGAACCTGAGAGGTCCTAATCTTAAGAAAGGGGGGGAATCTTTTTCTGTTAGGTAAGAAACTTTTTGGACTTAATCCACCCTTACAGGAAAATAAATAGCATATAAACTTAAAGATGCAAGACTATTTTACCTCGAGGAAAAAGACTAAGTCAATACCTTGTTAGACAAATGGGATTCTAGTATTTAAATCAAAGCCAAGAGAGGAACTATTGAGTATGCAATGATTCATTAAACTCACTATGAAATAGTTTAGGAATAATTTTGGTAGAAAATTTACATACTCTAGAATTCTATTACATCTATGATTGTTTCAACCTTCTCTACCTGCAGGTCTTTCAAGTTGCCATGACACATTTCAAAAGCCCAAGATGAATTTAAAAATTGAACAATTAATGTTGTTCCTACATCAAGCGGATCCGTTTAGTTTATTTTCTCAAGTAAACGTGCATATACATCTTGTCTCAGTGCCATCTACTGATAATTTAGCATCTTTGTTCTCTATGAGAATATTTATTCAAAACATTTGTTAAAATTATTTCTGCAAGGCTAAAATTGATTGATTCACACCATTTCAAAAACTTAGGCTGCGACAAAATGCCCAAGTTTTCCTTTGATCCTCAAACTTCTCCATCTTAGCTTACTGACACAGTACTGGATAAACCTTGCTACTGTATGATACAGTATTCAAAGAAATTAAAAAGTTAGATTTAAACGAAGAATATAACCTATGAATAATAGCAACATAATACAGCAATTCAAGAATAACTCCTTGAAAATTCATTAGAAAAACAGGAACTACTAGCCACACCGTAAGTATAGAATTCTATATATGGGGAAATTAAAATGGAGAAAGTTTTAGTTTACTTCCCTAATAGTACACATTATTTTCATTTTGTTTACCTGTAGAATGTTTTTACTTTGTTGTACGGCAAACATCTAATACATTGCTTGTAGATCATGTTCTCATCTGCCTGTAGTTCCAAACCACATTTAGCACACCCTGAATACGTAATCATAGGCAGAGAAGCCAAAACATACTCCAGTGAAGTGTCAGCACGGAAGACAAGTTGTTTGTATTGACCAGTTGAAATGGTAAACTTCAGTTCTAAGACACGAGCTTTCACTTGAACCACTCCTACAAAACAATTTCAATCAAATCTGCAGTCATTTACAACTGAAAGCAAAAGCAAGGGTTACAGCTGATTTACGATCAAAATACTTATCAATAAAACTATGATTTTTTTTCCTGTAGTAGCACATGCTTATATTTTTTGAGATGATTTATGCAGTGAAAAGTCATTGTGGTTAAATATTATTTTAAAATGTATAAGAGTACTACATTTTTAGGTACTATGGTGGTAGATTCCAATATAGAAGAGCCTGAATAAGAGATCAAGAGATTAGAATTGTACATATGATTCCCATTTGCTTTTCTTTCATACTAATTCAGAGACACTGAAAAGCATAGCTTTAACAACTTATCTTTCCATTATTTATACATAAACTAGAGTTAAATGCTGCAATACCAACTTTAAATACTACTTAGTGTTTAACAACCTTAATCTTCTAGGTTTGCCTGAGAAGGGGTGACTTTTGTATAAAATATATTCTTTGTTCTTTTGTAAGAAATTTTCTATAGCAGTAGCTATGTTACTCTTGCTTTACAGAATTCGAGTTTTGGAGAAATACCATTCAACAAACTTTCAGTGATTAAGCATTTCTCCCTGTGTTCCACAGCTATCTTGGTATGGTACCACATACCACACCTATCTCACCTCTGGGCTCATTGAATGAAGGGTGCCTTCACAGTTTGGCTGGGTACTGAACAGCAGCCTCCAGAATAAATTCAAAGTCCCAGAACTGTGCTAACTTTAAAAAAAACATTTTATTTGATCAGAGCATCTATTTTGCTTGGTTATGCACTGCACAACAGACATTAGAGCTATGGATAACAACCTTACCTGAGCATTTTTCCTCCAAATGTGCTGAGAGCTTTGTCATCTGCATGAGGGATGTTTTGCTTTTCTGAAACTTTTCTTTAAATTCAATTGCCCTTTTATCATCATCAAACAAGCACTCATAGGATGACCATGGAGTTGTGTGCAGTTCAAAGTCACCTGAGACAGAACTATGTTGGACCAGCAGATATTTAAAGTCCCATATGTGATCTACAGAACAAAAAGAAACCAGAAGAGTTTACTTTCTATGTCTTCATTAATTTATAAAAAGCCATGGTCACTTACATGTTTGAGAAACAAATTAGCAAGACATTCTCGTATGGTCAGCTCTGGCAACTTTATTTCAAGCCTGATGACATGTAGGGTTTTCCCTTTCCCTATAAACTATGCATGAGTCCTCCCACAACAGAACAATGCTTTCATTTCACTGGTACTGCATTCAGCTTTCAAGGCAATTCAACTTTTTGAAAAAGAAACCAGTTCTGAAATTTCTTGTCAGCTCTAGTAAGGAAAAGTTGGCAGTGTCTAGAAGAAAAAAAATCTTCAAGTTATTAATCACCTTCCATCTTTAGTAGAACATTAAGAAGAGGGACATAGCCTCACAATGCTCTGATTTAAAAATATTAATTTTTCCATCTTCCAGTTGACTCCGTAATAAAGAAAAATACTTTAAAAATTGAGATCACATAATAATATATTTTGGGTTGTCCTTCACCTTGTTATAAGAATCCAGTTGTCACCTATGAATCAAGTCTGATAACCATTTAGGCTGTAATTTTTCCTCCATGTTTGCTCAAGCTGAAAGTTGCAGCCAAAGTAATTGTCTTTGGAAATAAGGTTAGAAAATATAGATTTTTTTTAATGTATTCAAGTGTCCATACAAACATCTTATTAGCATGTTTTTGTATTTTCATATTTTGGATCAGTTTGACTTTCGGTGGTTGCTTGCTAAAATTGCAAGCTCCTGAGAAATCTGCTGTCAGTGTTTTACAGTAAAATACTCCAAAAAAACTTCTCTGAGCAGTCTAGTTTCACACACCTCCTATCTGAATAGAGATCTTGCAGCCCCCCAAAACTGAGCATGTTCCAGTTCAAAGAAAGATTCAGGCAGTAACTCTAGAGCAACACTGAGTGAACAGGAGGAAAAAAACAGGCACTTGGCAAGAGGGGATATATGGAAGCAGGACAGCTGAACTAGGGTACAAGGTCTGGTTGATACCTGAATTTAACCTATTCAGATCTTCAACATTACCCTGTTGATTAGAAAACTGATCACAAAACATGGGGAAACTATACGTCACTAAGTTTACAGAAAATTATTTAATGAAATAAATCTTTTTTGTAATCCAAACAAGATGAGTGTAAAGCATAACTTGAACATCTGATGACTTTATACTGAAAATTTGGACTGATTTAGCAAGAAATGAAAAATGTAACTTACTGGCAACAATTTTTAGATGCTCTAGCACTGTATAGTCTTGTGCACTTTATTTTAAGCATGTAGAGAATTTAAAAATTGCAAGTCTTCATATCTTCCTCTATAATATTATGAGGTTTCTAATCTGTTAGTACAACCAGTAAAGATGTACCACAGCTGATCTATGACTCCTAGCAAGGATGGACATCACGCTCTTC